AAGTATATTAGTTCTTTGGAGGGATCTATTTGAACCTTTCTTTGCCTATTTGGAATGCTCCCATCAAAAAATTCTACTCATCTCTGCTCAGGCTAAGGACCAATTTCTTCTTGACAAGTCTCCTAATGTCCTCTCCAGTCCATAATAATCTCTTCTGAACAGTGCTCTTAGCAACCTCTTTCTGACAGTTTCCTACACTTGGCCTCAAGCACCCTGAAGTTGGCATTTGCTTCCTACACCATTATTCTGTTTCCACATGTGGAGGTTGGGAGCTGCTGGAGCTGACAGGCGGCCTGGCCTCTCCCTCAGTACCCTGCAACATGCCTTCCTGCAGCCTGTTTTTATTTTGACTAATGGATTGAAGCACTGCATGTCCTGTGATCTTTTTCTATAATGCAACTGTAAGTTCTGTTGGTCGTAAATAATTAATTTGATCTTAAATGCTGTCTCCAAGTCTAGAGAAAGGTACATACGTTACATTTATACTCTGTACGGTGGTCAGGATAGACACTGGCTCAGCTGTCTGAAAAGAATCCAGTGTTTTGGCAATCCAAGGAAACAACTGTAAGAATGTTAGCTTCATCTGTTCATTTGTAGGACAAACAATAAAAATAAATGCAACAAAACTTAACCATAATTTACTTAATTTATTTACAAGTTTCTCTCTCCCCTCTTCCCACTTTCCCTGCCCTCCCGACCCCGTGTGAGTCTGTGTGTGTATGCGTGTGTGTGTGCGTGTGTGTGTGTGTTCTTGTGGGTGCACATGTGCCTGTGTCTGTAGAAGCCAGAAGTCAACTTCCGGTGTTGTTCCTCAGAAGCCATCCACCTTGTCTTTTGAGACAAGGTCTTTAATTGGTTTAATTGCTTGGAGCTTGTTCAATAGGCTACGCTAACTGGTCAGTGAGCCCCAAGGAGCCACTTGCCCGGGCTCCCTCCATTTCTGGCTTCCTGGCTTGCACCACTATGCCTAGCTTTTTACATGGAATCTGGAAACTCAGGTCCTCATGCTGGGTGACAAGCACTTTATAGACTTTTATCTCTCCAACTCCAGAAAACTTCTTTATTTTTATCTCTTTCTGAGGAAAACGGCAAAGAGGATCTAGAACATCCCATGAAGCCACATCATACAATACTAAATGCCTTAGTATGCACCCCCCCAATGGATCCCAAGGCCTCAGACATGCGAGACAAGCCTAGACCGCTGAGCCACTTCCCGGTGATCACTTGTTCAATTTTGATGGCAAAACCTTGGTCTAGTTTTAACTAAATAAATGAAATCATTAAGACTCAAATAGAATCCTGAAGTAAAAAATCTCCAGAAAATAGAAAAAAGTAGGTAGGTGACTCAATACAAACAAAATAAAGATTAAGGCATTTGAAAAGATCAACTTTTTTTTGTTGCTGTTGTTGTTTTTTGAGACAAAGTTTCCATGTAGCCCCAGGGGGCCTAGAATTCACTATGTAGACCAGGCTGGGCTCCATCTAATAGAGATACACTTGCCTCTGCCTCCCAAGTACTGGGATTAAAGGCATATGCTACCATGCCCAGCTCTGAAAATCAATGTATTTAAACTATGTCTGTATGATAGCCAGAACCAACCTTTCGGTATAACCAAATTTTAAAAAATACAGATTGGAACAACTTATTTCAACCCCAAATATTTTATCAAATTTCCTGCCAGGCATTAGATACAGAAGTGTAAACACAAAGAAACCAACTGTTACACTATATGCTGTAATCTCTCTACAGTAAGTAGGCACTAAGTGTACTTAGTGTGAAATCATTCTGAATACAGTAAATCACACGAGAGCACAAAGAAGTAGTTATTTCTTATACCACATAAAACCTGCTTTGCCTCTAAAAAACTAGGCAGCTGTGGACATAGCTCACTGGTAGAGCACATACAAAGCCCTGGGTTCAATCCCCAGTACAACAAAAATACAGTACATATTGTCAACATGCATTATATACATGTATGAAAATGTCATAATTAAATCCATTATCTTGAACAATATATACCAACAAAAATAATTTTATAGTAACAAAAATCAAACAACCAAAGCCCCCAAGAAATAGTAAATACAGCAAAAACTACTTTTCCCTTTAAACACTACCTTTTATTTTGTTTCCAAAATTTCTCTTGGTTTTTTAATTAAAACCACATGGAAAATTGACACCAATATTTAGTGTACTTTTGTTTCACTTTGACAATCACTGTACAGTGGACACTACTGATAGAGAATTTCCACTGTATTAATGGGACTGCAAAAAAAAATGAATTAAATCTCCCTTCAGTTTGTCTTGAACATGCTAGGCAAGTGCTTTGATGATGCTATACATTCCTAGCCCTTGGTTTTTTCGACACAGGGTCTCACTATATAACACAGGGTGGCCTCATACTTGAAATCCTCCTGCCTCTGACTTCTAAATGTTAAGATGACAGGTATGTGCCATCATGCCTGGCATCACTGTTTTTTTTTTTTTTTTTTTTTTTTTTAATGTGCATGACTGTATTGCCTGCATGTATGTAAGTGCACCCATGTCATGCAGAGCCCACGGAGGTCAGAAGGAGTTGGATTCCCTAGAACTGGAGTTACGGATGGTTATTAGCCACCATGTTAGCGCTGGGAATTGAACCTGGGTCTTCTGCAAGAGCATTCAGTGCTCTTAACCACTGAGTCATCTCTCTATCCCCTCACTAGTATTTTTTTTAAATGTTACCTTTCAGAGAACCAAAGGAAAGATGTGTACATTGAAACAAAACAAAACAAAACAAACTACAGGGAGATTCTTTTATTTTCTGGGTTTGTTTTGTTGTTTTTAAATTTATTTATGTGTATATGCCTTTGTTTGTGTGATACATGTGTGCAGATGCCTGGGGAGGCCAGAAAAAGGCATTGGATCACCTGTATCTAGAGTTATGGGAGGGTTGTGTGCTACCAAACACAGGTGATGGGAACAAAATTCAGTACTCTGTAACAGTAGCAGGTGCTCATAACTGCTCAGCTCTTTCTCCAGCCCCAGCAGGGAGACTCTACGAAAATCTAAACATCTCACAAGCTTCATGCCTAGAGCTAACAGCTGACTTCCAGATTATAAAGGAAGTGATCTGGAAGGGACTTCATCAGCCTAGGTCAAACCAAGTTACAGCAAACAAGAGTTTATTTTCCTGGGTTTTCTTCTTTGCTATTACATAGTAGCAAGTACCCACTTAAAGTGACAAGAGGCTGGCTTTGTTACAAAAGGGTAATCTCATATAACTCAGGCTAATTTTGTCCTCTTCAGTCATATTCCTGTCTTATAACACAACTTTAAACCAGTCATGTTTGTACACAGAACTATTTTTCCAAAGTCCCACAAATACTATGATTCTGGTATCTCTGGATTATCACCAAGGAACAGATATACTTTTTTAACCTTGTCAGGTGACAGACCCATCTTCATAGCAAATTCTTTAGAATGCTTAGATCACTCAAGTCTCCAGTCTTTACAAAACTCGAAAGGTACTGCCAGGGAGACTGTCTCAAAAGGAAGAATATAGATTTTTATTAATCTGGGATGGTTTCTAGGTTAGTCTGTTGGCTACCTCAAAAGAGGCATCCCTTGACATAAATGACAGAATGCATGAAGTCTAGTCGGGGGTCTCTGGGAGGGTACCCATGGGGAAGAGGGATAAAGAGGACTAAGATGATGTATATGAAATACATAAATTCAGTAAAAATATATCTTTAAAAAAAGGAGGCATCGAAGTCATAAACTACCTATCTTTTGTTCCTTTTCACTGCAGGATGAAAAACTCAACTCACTAGGATGTACATGTAAAGTTCAATGGTATACATTTTGACAAATTCATTGAAGATCTACTATAGGGTAAAGCACTGTCACGTTTTAGATGGTCAATATTTAATTTGACAAGTCATTCATTCGTGTAGAAATGCTGGGGAAGGGAGGTTATAAGCAGGAACACTGTAAGTGCACAGACCAGCTTGAGATTCCCCCTTTCACCAGTGAGCTCCTGGATGCCACTGTGTGGTTCATGTCTCATGGGAGGAGTGCTCTCTGCTGGGGCATCAATCCTGAGAACACACTTTACTAACCAGAGCGTTTCCTGGTACAGGGTGGACTCAGGGTGGACACATCCTCTGCACAATTTCTCTGTAGAAAATACTAATCTTGACATCTACTGAAGAGTTCATGACATTATGTCAGGGTTTGGCTTCTTTGTTGATGTTCTGGGGCCACAGATTAATAAGCAGGATTGACTATGGCAGTGATTTGTGTAGAAAAGCGTAAGCAGACCTTGAATGCGAAAGGCTTAAATTCAGTCTTAGAAGCTTCTGTTCACTCAGAATGTACAAATAATACACTGATAATTTGTGTGTGTGTGTGTGTGTGTGTGTGTGTGTGTGTGTGTGTGTCTTGTCTTTTTGAGACGGGGTCTCCCTATAGCCCTAGCTGGCTTGGAGCTTGCTATATAGACCAGGCTGGCCTCACTTTCATAGAGATCTGCCTGCCTCTGCCTCCTGAGTGCTGGGATTAGAGGCATGTTCCACCACACATGGCCCACAGATTTTTATAAATAAATTACAAACAGTAGAAGTGTTTCATTTCTGGATAATTCATCAAGAGATTAACAAAATCCAAAGAAGTAACTGCCAGGCTTATAGCTTCTAAGGATAAATGTAGAAGTAAATTTTGCATCCAGGAAAGACAACAAAGCAGGGAATCTGCTCAGTGTCACAGTGAAATGTCACTGGGTAGGGAGGGGTGGTGAGCAAGGGTTAGAGGGCAGGATGCTCAGTAAAGAGAATGCTATTCTGGAAGGGGCTGCTGCTCCCCCTTGTGGCTGTTCAGAAACGCTACATAAGAGCTTTTGTACAAGGCCTTGCTACAAGGTTAGGTTGCATAGCCCACTTTTTATCCTTAACTGCACAAGCTTTTCATGGAAATAGACTTTGTTAAGTAATTTCACACCATTTAAATTAAGAACAAAACTTACTGTGGTAGAGTCAAAAGAAAGGACGTCCACAACAGGGGGAGAAGAAATCTGCAAATCGATTACCTCAAGCTTTGGATTAATCTGTGTACACATAAAAAAGTTAATGTGACATCTTCTACCAGAAGAAACGATGCTATTAGTAAAATCCTGAAGTGCATTCTTAATGCATTTTAAAAATCAAAGCATACTGGTATACTCATTTATAAGGACAGATATACTAGCAAAAATGTGAGTTCACTAAACCTACCAATGTATATATGATTATGACAGAGTCGAACTTATCCCACATATAAAAGCAATGTAATTTAGCTGTAGAGTAATACTAAAAGTAAAAAGACCCACCTCAAAAGATGCAGAAAAAAAATCCTAGCCAGTACATTAAGACAAGAAAACGAAAGAAAATGTTAAGATGTAAGAATTAGGAAAGAGACTGTCATTCAAAAATAAGACAATTACCTATGGAGAAATTCCCAAAGCATCTACTGCTAAGTCATCAGAACTACTGAGAGAGCTGAACAAAACAGCAAGTCCCCACACTAACATACAAACCCATCTACATTTCAACATATAGTTAAAATATGTAAAGTATAAAAGATACCATTTATAATATTATAAAACTGAAAAAACACGCCAGAATAAATATACAAAGATGTATAAGACTTTATGGGAAAGATTACAACTTCCGTTTACATTAAAGAAGTCTCAAATAAATAGAAAGCTATGCTAAAATAGCTCATAAGCTCATTTATGTAGATGGACTATAAATGTAGTAAGATACAAATGGGAACTTTAGTTAATAGAGGAAGGATGACTGACAGGCCTAAAAATGGTTTGGTACATGGATCCCCGCAAGGGAGGTTAGGCAGTAGATAAATTAGATACTGAAATGTGATGCTCAAACTGTAAAATAAATAAGAATAAACAAAGCTGGGCATGGTGGCACAAACCTTTGGTCCCAGCACTTGGGGGGCAGAGGCAGGGGGATCTCTGTGAGATTGAGGCCAGCCTGCTCTCCATAGCAAGGCCAGCCTGGTCTTCATAGTAAGTTCCAGACCAGCTGGGGCTACAGGGAGAGCCTGACTCAAAAAGACACACACACACACACAGCACACACGCACGCACAAAAGCTGGGCATGGTGGCACAAACCTTTGGTCCCAGCACTTGGGGGGCAGAGGCAGGGGGATCTCTGTGAGATTGAGGCCAGCCTGCTCTCCATAGCAAGGCCAGCCTGGTCTTCATAGTAAGTTCCAGACCAGCTGGGGCTACAGGGAGAGCCTGACTCAAAAAGACACACACACACACACAGCACACACGCACGCACACACACACACATGCACATGCAGAGAGAGAGAGAGAGAGAGAGAGAGAGAGAGAGAGAGAATAAATAAAGAGATTTTAATACAACCAGAGACTGAGAAAGACAGCTTAAAAAGCAAGGAGGAAACATGTATCTGATTACACTAAATTCAGGATTTCTGTTTAACTATGAATATCATAAAATTAACATCCAGATAATGGAACAGGCAGATATAGTATGATATCTGAAATAGAAAAAGAACAAATACCTAAAATATTACAAAACCCTCTATATACCAATGTGAAAAAAATAGAAGCCCCATGAAAGTGAAAATTGACTGGTTAGGTGGCACATAAGAGATGCTCAGTAGTATTAATGAGAAAAGTGAAGGTTAAATAACCACTGCAAAAACTAGAAAGCTCAATGTCAGCCCTGTTCATAGGAATTCACAGCAAATCCCTTAAACTAGAAATACCTCAAGGGTCCATTAATAGCAAACTAGACTATGGGAAATGCTTTTGATAAATTCACCAAAATATGACATAGCAATGAAAAATGAATGGAATATAACTCTGTAACTCTGCACAACAAACAACCATATCAATTCAGATTATATGCATACAAATCTCAAGATTTTTATATGAAATAAAAAGGCAACTTACAGAACACTGTACTCAATATTATTTCCTTTATGCAAAGTTTCTGGCCATTATAAACTAAACAATATTTAATTACAGATTCAAAAGTATACAGTAAAATTACAAAGTAGAGAATGACCTTCTGGGGAAAGTCATTTTTAAATTAAAAAAATACCCAAACATACAAAATAAAACTAAAGCATCCTCCATACAAAATGTAAACAAAGGACATTGAAGAGAGCAGACTTTATCTATGATGCCAATTGTCAATGTACTGATGAACCCAGAGAAAAAAATCACTGACTGTGTGCTCATGAGAAAGCAAGCTTATGGCAGAAACACAGTTTAACATGGCTTCTCAAAAAAAAAAGGCAGGGACATGCTGGAGAGATGGCTCAGAGGTTAAGAGCCCTGGCTGCTCTTGTAGAGGACCCAGGTTCAATTCCCAGCACCTACATGGCAGTTAACGTCCACAACTCCAGTTCCAGGAGAATCTAATCTGACACCCTCTTCTGATCTCTGTGGGCACAACATGGGTACACTTACATAAATGCAGGCAATACACTCATACACATAAATAGATACAATATATATTTTTTTAAAGTTTAGAAAACAGAAACAAACAAAACAGAGATGAGTTAAAGAACACTACTCACTGATCATGGTGATTGAGTTCAGACAACTTTCGCATAGGGGAAGAAAGAAGAGAAAAGAAAGATGAGAGGAGAGAGAGAGAGAGAGAGAAGGAAGGAGGGACGAGACAGAATTTGAGAAGCTGACAAAGGTCAAATTATGAAGAGTGAAGGAATTTTGGAAAACATAAAAGGTTGAAGCCTAAAGTGTTTTACAAAGATCAATCTCAGAGATACATAGAGTAAGTTGGGGTGGTAGTGAAGACATTACTGCAACTGTGGGCTGAGCCCCTGGCAAGGGGAACGGAATGACTTGTTAAGCACTTAGGCTTGATGGGGACAGCTATAGTTTTATTAATATTACTTAAATTTATTTATTTATTTATTTATTATTTATTATTTATGTTTGTGGGTAGACATGTGCCATGGTGCATGTGTGGAGGTCAGAGGACAGTTTGCAAGAGTTGGTTCTCTCCTTTCACTATGTAGGACCTGGGGATTGGACTCAGGTGGTCAGGCTGGCAGCAAGTGCCCTTACCTGTTGAGCCATCTAGCTGGCTCAGTTCCATTTTTGAGATTAGTCTCACTATGCAGCATAGGCTAGCCCCAATCTACAGATCCTCTTGACTCCACCTCCCAAGTGTTGGGATTATAGGTGTGTGCTACCACTTTGGCCTTCTAGCTGCAGTTTCAGAAATGTTAAATATGTCTTATAATTACCCAGTCCACTGTATTAAGGGGCACATATCTGGTAACTGTAAGGTTACAGTGAAGGAGGGATAAATTTCTATAAGGGGAAGGATGGGGATGATTGACCAGTTGCCACTGCCTCTGCTTCCTTCCAGCTGTTTCCACAGCAGAAAGCAAACATCTTCCCACCCTTTTCTGAGGGTCCTGAGGCTCGAGCTAAAGCAAAGAGAGAAACCTGAGATGACTAAATTCTTTAGCATCTTAGCCAGCTGCACAGACACTTTACTTTTTTATCTACTGCCACCTAGTGTTCACATAAAATGTTTACCACCAAAAATAAAGCTTGGCTCCATACTGCTTAGCTTGAAAGCTGTTTCCTGATCTCCCAGTCCTGAATTCCACTTAGCCATTGGCTACTCACTGTTCCCTTTGAAGACAATGGAGCTTTAAAGCAAAAGATTTGAGAATTTGATCTATTTTTAATTTAATTTATTCCTAATCTTACTTTATTGGATCATATCTCATAAATATAAACTTTAAAAATACTTTATTGTTCTATTGTTGTACACATCTTTAACAAAGTATTTCTCAGGGCTAAAAATATTTATCTTATTGGTATGATGATCATCTTTGCATTCATCTTATGTATGGGATCAATTTTATTTGGGTATTTTACTTTCTTTTACAATTGGCAAATTTCTCAAATCTTCATCTTCAATTTTAATTTTTTAGTTTAAAAAGTTTATGCCACACAAAAAAGACTAGGTACCTATCATAAAAAAATCTTTGGCTTTCTACAAGTTTGGAAATGATATACTAGTAGTATTTCATTGTATTATGTACAAACTGCTGCCAGAGTCATCAAATAACCTTGAAATGGAGTAGGATTGAGAGGCTTTCTCGCCAGCTGAACAAGGGTTTATGACTATGGTTTATGAGGGATTGTGGAAAAGCTATCCACAGGACCTGGAAGATCCACCTCACACCCTTCTCTGAGGTTCTGCACAGCCATCACTGAAAACACCAACACCCATATTAACAAAGCCTATAAGGTTTCCTGAAAAATGTTTCTGAAGGGCTCAGAGTATGCCATCTTGCTCACTGCCACATGCTCTAAGGCTAGGATACCAGCAGAGACCATTATCTGTTGACAAGATAGGCTTTAATTTTGTACTATATTGAAGCACTGCATCAGATGGGTAAAGATACAGAGTGGAACCAGAGTGCCTGGGTTGAAGATACAGCATTGACAGTTACTAGCTGAGACTCACATTTGCCTTAATTTCTCATGTGAATAAAAATGTTACTGACTTGGATGGGGGGTTGAACATCAAAATAAGGACTTCAGGGGCTGGAGAGATGGCTCAGTGTTTAAGAGCACTGGCTGCTTTTCTGGAGGACCTGGGTCTGGTTCTCAGCACCCACATGGTGGCAAACAACAGTCTATTAACTCCAGTTTCAGGGCATCTGATGACATCTGGCCTCTGCGGGCACTGCATGACACAGGTGCATTTAGCACATGTAGACAACAAAACATTGATACACATAAAAAAAATAGATAAACAGTTTAGCCAGGTGTGGTGGCACATGCCTTTAATCCCAGCACTCAGGAGGCAGAGGCAGGTGGATCTCTGTGAATTCCAGGCCAGCTGGGGCTACAGGGAGACCCTATCTCAAAAATGAGGCTACAGGGTAAAAAAAAAAAAAAAAAAAAAAAAAGACCAAAAAAATGAAAAAACAGTTCATAGACAAAAAGAAAATAAATGTTACTGACATCTATAGTGTTTTTAACAATATTAAATAATTAAAGAGTTGGAAAAGTG